GGGCTCCAACAATCAAAGTAAAATGCACCTTCAAATAGTACCAAGAAATGTGGTTTCTATACTGAAAATGTTTGCGATAGCCTTAAAATATATTTTCATCTCTAATTATAAAATTTAAAGCATCAAAATAAGTGTAGATTTAGGAGATCTACGAAAACTTGACAATCTTGAAAATTGACGGTTAAAAAATACATTAGTTTCGAAACTTGAAATCCGTTTTTTTCTCATGTCCACGCATCTTGAGGTTGATTTGATCAATTTGAGGCATCAAAACAACCACTTATGGTGAAGTTTTTGAGGTACGTGCTAATTAGATTATTTAGAGCCTCCTGCTTATATAAACATTTTTCTTAAAATAAGGATACAGTTTATTTAAGGCCTACCTTTTAGGGAAACACAGTAAAGCTTAGTCTTAAATCTTTATCTGGAAAGCACTTTGGGCATTGGAGATCTTCATGATGACTCTAAAATCCATTTCTAATACAGATTATAAAATTTAAAGACAAAAAAATAGTAAAAATCTTGTGGATCCGTGGATACTTATATTTAGGGTGAAATGGACGGTCTAGATATTATATGATATAAACACTATATTTAGAGCTTGGAATCCAATTTTTTTAAAATAATTATAATGGTCAAGGTTGAGATGATCGATTTGAATATTTTCCAACACTAGAAGTACAATTTTCTATGAGTTTTGAAGTGAGGTGTTAAATAAAATCTTTTTTTTTTCTGAGTAGATCAGTAGGGAACGGGTCCTCTACTTCTTTTAGAAATGGAACTTAAAATGTCAGTCTCCCACCTTGACTACCTACAGCCCATTACTAAATAAATAAAACCATTTTTACCTAATGCATATTTAAGTTTAATAATGTAAAACAAGAAAAAACTATTACGAAGCCTGATCAGGAGTTGACTATACTTTATGCAGTTGACCAACGATTTTCTTGGTTTTTAGCCATAGAGTATGCAATATATTGCTCTATTAACACCATCTAGGCGAGGTTTGTAAATCTTTTGAGAACCTAAATTAAACTAAACTGAACAAAAGGAATATTCTACTAGGGTTTAAGAAAAATCAAACCAAAGGTTTATTTAAATTAACGAACAACAATTAGAAGAAACTTTAGGAAAGAGTATTATCTCCCAAAATTTTTTATTTTACAAGCGCACCCATCTTCTTCTTTTTTCTTATTCCCAAATTCCTTTCACTTTGGATCTTGAACATCCAAAGTGACAAAGCCATTTCGTAATTTTGAATATCGAAGATCTCAAGTTCGGCCCCCCCCCCCATAGTGATACTGGGGTTCAACTTGGAGCACTAGTTCCCATATGCTTTGAATGGGGAAAGAGAGTCCTAATACTACTATTTCCTATAAGTTTTGAATGGGATGAGAGAGAGTCTCAGTGAAAGTTAATTTCCAGGATTGGGAGTGGGAATACCCTTAAGAGCTTGTGGATTTTCTCGGTAGGAAATTGAGTAGCTTTTAGTGTATATTGGAAATGTGAAACATGCATAAAAAGTTTAAGGTGTGCCATGTTGATCAACACAATTTTTATTTTATTTTTTACGCCTTGATCAACACAATTTTTATTTTATTTTTTATTTTTTTCGTTAGTAGGACAGTGCCCCAAGCTTTAAGGTATTGCCCTATTAACGAAAAAACTAAAATAAAAAATAAAAATTTGGGTTGATCAAAGGGTAATTTTGAAAAAATAAAAAAATATAGATTGACCGATCTTCTTTGCAATTTCCTCGCATTTCGCACTTTACCTAAATTTTAAAATCCGTAGGTGAATCACTCAAGGGAAAAAAAACCCTATCTAATGATTAGAAAGTGGATTCTAAAATTTCAATTTGAAAAGATACTCTTAATTAGTCTCCAAAAGCCCTATCTAATGGTTAGAAAGTGGATTCTAAAATTTCAATTTGAGAAGATACTCTTGTTTAGTCTCTTAGCCAATGTAGAAGAAGTACAATTCGCTCTGCCGAAAATGTAACAAGAATTGTTATTAGGGAGTGTACAATGAGGCTATTTTCCATTAATACAAAGTCCACAATTATTTATAAGCATCCCATATGAAATATGAAATATGAGAGTTTGGATATGTCACAAAGTTCAAAAAAATTTCTTTCAAACTTTGAATTTGATCAATGAAATAAATGCGGAATTTCACATCCAAGATTAACATAGAGTACCTTGTACCAAAACTTAATGATCTCATTGTATACTTTTTTATCTTTTTCTTGTGAGATTAAAGGAATGGAGACACAATGGTCCTTATTACTTGTTTTCTTTAACAAATGCAGTCGATTCCCGTTCCAAAAGCTTGAGCTCATGGTGGGGACAATCACACAAACATGAAAATCATTTATCGTGGGAATCACAAATCACAAAATGGTTAAAATCTCAAACAGAGCCAAGCTAGAAATGGATGACTGTGACATTGCATTTCGACCAAGCATACAAACATGAAAATCAAATTACTGTTTGTGGGAATAAAGAATCACAAAATGGTTGAAGTGGAAATCAAAAGTCACAAAATGGTTGACAACTCAGAACAGAGCCAAGCTAGTAATGGATGACTGTGACATCGCATTCGAGCACAAAGCTCCTGGTGACCTTGTTCGCAGAGTAGGTCTTAGCGAGGAGAAAGCCACGAGCAAGACGAAAGGCTCCACTCCCTCCCACAATGGACATCTCCCTTACATTCTCCATAGTGGGATTCCTCCCAATCATAGTAAGCGTGCTTCCGTTTAACTCTCCGGTCGTGAACAGAAAGTTGAGTCCCATGAAAAGGCTGAATTCAGTCTGAGATGCCGAGGCATAAATTCCCTGCATTCTCCCTATTACCTTAGAAGTTATGGCACGGCCCTGAGTCAGGGGGTCATCTACTACGTTCAACATACCGAAGAATGTCGAAGAGGTTATGGTGGTGTTAGCCATGGCCACAATCAAAGCCGTCGCATTCTTAGTACCGCTCGCTATGTCGTGGAAGTAGAAGTGGAGATAACTCACCTTCTCTTTCCCTAGGCCTAAGCTCTTCTTCCAGTCCGCACCTGCCTTGCAGGCGACAATGGAGGAAAAGAGAAGCATGAGCAAGACCACCAGCCCTCTCATTTTTCTTTTTCTTCTTCCTGGGTTGGAGCCCAAAACCTCAATGTTGCAGCCCAAAACCCTTGGCAAGAGAACATTGGCAACATAAGATAAAATGAAAAGCATTACACAATTTGGGGGAGAGCATGCCAAATTTAACATTTAAGTTTTTAGTAATTTACGTATGGACAGAAAACAAAAATGAAATGGGAAAATTTTGGGCAAAAATTACGTGAAAGGTCAGTCAACCAATATTTTTTTCAATTTTTTCCTAAATTGGCCCCAATCCAAAGATGACATCTTCTGACCGCTTTTTAATTCTTATTTTTTTAGTTTTTTTTCTGGTAGCAGTAGCATAGTGCCCTGTTCAGAAGGCAGTTCGAAGTTGGCATCCTCAGACCACCTTACTTCTTAGCAAACAAATGAGCTAACGCCGTTTGAGGATGCCAACCACGGACTGCCCTAAAGAGTATCAGAGAAGGCAATCCAAGAAAGGGCACCTCATACCGCCTCCGAATGCTTAACAAAGTCATTCTTTCCTGTTTGAGGATGCCAATCTCGAACCTCTTTGAAGATCACCACATAAGGTGGTCCGATGATGCTGCATCGGATTGACTACGCAGTGCCCCAAACATTAGGGCAAAGCCCTACTATCGAAAAAACATAAAAAAAAAGGTTAAAATGTTGTTCGAGGATGGTATCCTCAGACTGAAGGGAAATTTTGAAAAAATAAAAAACTCCAGGTTGATCGACCTTCCGTGTAATTTTAACTCAAATTGACTCATTTTATATTTTAGTATTCTTTTGATATCGATAGATACTTCACTCTAACCTTTTTATTAGAAAATATTT